GGAGTCCCCATCCCTGGGGGGATTTCAAATCCGTGTGGATGTGGCACTTGGGGATGTGGGGTCGGGCTGTGCTCCAGGGAACGGGGACAGGAGGAGAGGGAACAGCCTCAGGCTGGGCCAGGGCAGCCTCAGGGGGGATTTTAGGGAATTCCTTCATGGAAAGGTTTGTCCAGCCCTGGCACAGCTACCCAAGTTAGGGCTGGAGTCCCCATTCCTGGAGGGATTCCAAAGCCCTGTGGATGTGGCACTTGGGGACGTGGGGCAGTGGTGGCCTTGGCAGTGCTGGGGGATGGTGGGACTCGGTCTGGGAGGTGTTTTCCCACCTTCATGATTCCATGATTCCAAGGACACTCACTCCCCTGCATGTGCCCTGTAGAGAGGGGGTTCCTGACTGCATCCCGTGCCCACCCCCATTCCCTGTTGTTGGTTTTTTTAGTTTTTATCAAGATGGGGTAATGCTAAGTGATCAGTATTAGAAGTAATTTGAGCATTGTGTGGCAAAAGCTCATAGGCTGAAAAACATTTACAAAGTATTGCAACCAAAAATTAAGTCAGCTTCTGATGGAATAGCGTTGAGTTTTACATCCCTTGTGCCTCACCATTCATCAGAACTGCTAACAGAATAAAATCTCTTTGAACACCTCTCAGTTAGATACCCCATCTCTATAATAAAAGCTGGGAAAACCAACGCTTTTGTTGGCTCTCTGCTGGGTGTGACCACAAATGCCAACAAATCAAACGTTGGCATTTTGGGGCACCAACCAGAGCTGCGATGCCACCACCAGGAGGGCCAAAAGCATCCCCCAGCCACACAGAGCTGCTGCTTGCCCACCCTGGCACAAAACCATCCCCCAATCATCCATAAGTGCTTCTTGCCCGCCCTGGCACAAAACCATCCCCCAGCAATCCAGAGCTGCTGCTTTCCCCCCCCGGCACAAAATCCCCTAGTCATCCAGAGCTGCTCTTTGCCCACCCTGGCACAAAATCCCCTAGTCATCCAGAGCTGCTCTTTGCCCACCCTGGCACAAAAGCATCCCCCAGCCATCCAGAGCTGCTCTTTGCCCACCCTGGCACAAAACCATCCCCCAGCCATCCAGAAGTGCTGCTTGCCCACCCTGGCACACCCTGCCCTGCCCTCTGAAGCCAGCCCTGGCTGGCTGCCGGCGTTAATCCCGCTGGCCCCGTGACGTGGGGCTGTCACGGCTTTGCTCTGACATCCTGGCCCTGCTGATGAGGCGGTGCTGCTGCTGCCGATTAGGATTTGTCTGCCCACCAACCGTGGTTAAAAATAGTCCCTCCTGTCCCTCCTGTCCCTCCTGTCCCTTCTGTCCCACATCCCTGGCTGGAGCTTCCCCGGAGCTTCCCCCGATCCCGCTCCAGGTGTGGGGTGGAACCGGCCCCGCACAACCCAGCAGGGGCTGGAGGTGGATTCCTTTAGGTTTCCTTGATAGCAACACAGAATGGTCATTTCTGGGGACACTTTGGCCTTTTGGGGTAGAAAAACATCATTTTATTGTCTTTATTCAGCCTGGAGAAGAGAAGGCTCCAGGGAGAGCTTACAGCAGCCCTCCGGTGTGGAATGGGGACTTTGAGGAGTGAGGCTTACAGGAATGGCTTCCCACTGTCTGATGGGATTTTGGGAAGGAATTCCAAGCTGGGAGGGTGGAGGAGGCCCTGGCACAGGTTGCCCAGAGGAGCTGTGGCTGCCCCTGGATCCCTGGAATGTCCAGGGCCAGGCTGGACAGGGCTTGGAGCAAACTGGGACAGGGGGAGGTGTCCTTGCCATGAGGGCAGGGGGCTGGAGCTGCATCTTTAAAATCCCTTCCAGCCCAAAGCATTCTGTGATTTTTGGGGATATTTGGATATGATGAGCACCTGGGATGTTCCAAGGCCTCTCTCCTCTTCACAGAGTGCCTGAGGAACACAAGGAGCCTCCCGGGTGGTTTTGTGCCCCTGTTCTGTATCCAAGTCTCACATGAGGTCTCCAGGCTGCTCTTTGAGAGCACAGAGGAAGGAGGCAGCGCCCTGGGGAGGCCCCAGGAGTGACTCAGCTCCTGATGCTGCCCCAAAAAGCCAGCAGCCATTTCTGCTCAGCGTTTCCATGCCAGGGTTCCCAACATCCCAAAAGGGAACCCCTTCCCTGGGGCAGGGAGCCACCTCCGAGGCCTTTCCTTGGACAGCTCCATCCCTTCCATCATTTCTCCCACTCCCTTTTCCTGGGGAGCTCCCAGCCCCTAAATGAGCCTGGCCTTGTCTCCTGGCTTCTCCCTGACCTCCCAGCATCTCCAGCACCTCCCCTGCCCTCCCCGTTTGCCCTCCCCTGGTGAGTTTTGACATCCATTGCTGTGATCAGGCAGTTGAGCCTTACAGGCTGCCCAGCTGTCACAGCCCAGGCCATTTACCTTCCACGTGTCCTGAATTAGGGGAAATGGACAGGAGGGCTGGGTCTGTTTAAAAATTAAAGCTGATTACAGGGCATTAACATTACATTTAAAGCAATAGACAGCAGCCCTCCTCTCTCTCTCTCAGCATAGCTGCAATATGTTCCCTTTTGTTCTGGGCTGCAAGAGGGAAGGGAGCAGGACTGCTAGCGACTCCAGGCTGGGCAGGATTTCTTCTTTAGCCATAAATTTTGAAAGAGGAGCTGCCTGTTGGCTGGTGCAAGAATTTAAAGCGGGTCTGACTACCTCAAGCACTTCCCATCTTTGCCATGCTAACAGGAAGCCAAAGTTCTTTTGGCTGATCCTGAATTTCCCTTGGAAAAGTCAGATGATCTGACTGTCTTCTGAGTTGTCATATTGAGAAATTTCATATTTGATGGATTCTGGTTATTTTTTTTTGTTAAATCTCACAATTTGCATGGTGACTCTTTGTCCCAAAACCAGGAATTAGTCAGTCTGGAACACTCTGAATGTGATGCTTGACTGGGACTCCTGGTGGGTTTGGGTTGGATTTGAAGCCTGTTTGTTTGGTGGATTTGTATGATATTTTTCCAGGCTTCGGCACCTTTATCTCACGGCCCCTCAGGAATTCAGGTGGTTTCAGAAGGAGCTGCTCAGTGCAGGGTGGGTGCTGAAAAGAGGCCTTTTGGGAGGTGAAGGGTTGTTTTTGTATTCCTTGGATCCTGCTTTTCTCTGTCTTCAAGGAACCAAAGTTCCAGGGAGAGCTCAGAGCCCCTGGCAGGGCCTGAAGGGGCTCCAGGAGAGCTGCAGAGGGACTGGGGACAAGGATGGAGGGACAGGACCCAGGGAATGGCTCCCACTGCCAGAGGGCAGCCATGGATGGGAGATTGGGAATGAGGAATTCCTGGCTGGGCTGGGATTGCCAGAGCAGCTGGGGCTGCCCCTGGATCCCTGGGATGTCCAAGGAAAGGCTGGGCAGGGCTTGGAGCACCCTGAGACAGTGGAAGGTGTCCCTGGCTATGGCAGGGGGTGGCTGCAAGGACCTTAAAAGGTCCTTTCCCACCCAAACCATTCCATGGTTCTATGAACTCTTAGTGACTTTTCATTTGGCTTTACCACCACCAACATTCACATTGAATTCCAGGGTTTTTTTTCCATTATTGTGTCAAAATCCCCAAAAACTTGGCTTTGGGAGCCAACAGGGCTTTCCTCGCCCTGTCTGGATGTCTGGGGCTGTCAGGGTCCATGGCTCTGTGGCCACAGCAAATTTTTTGGGGTATCTGCAGTAGGTGGGAATTTTAATCCTTGGACAAGCTTCTGTCTAAAAGAGATGTGCTTGAATCCAAGCAGGAAAGGGATGGCAGCCAGGAGAGTTGGCATCTTTTCCTAAATCTGGAAGCACAGAGCTGGACAGACAAACATTTCCTTGTTTGCCACTGTTTTCAGCCCGGGGTGGGGATGGAAAGGATGGAGGTGTTTCTGCAGGGTGTCTGCAAGCAGATCTCAGCAGTGCCACCCTCTGGGATCGGTGTTTTGGCTCCCGGATAGGGAATTGCTCTCCTGATAAGCTGCACCTCTCCAGCCTGGTGCTGTTTTATTTATAACCCTTGGCTTAGGGAGACGGACACAGGTGGGGGCAGAAATCCAGCTCTGCCCAGCCCTGCATCTCTCCTGACCCATCAGAAGTGCTGCTGAGTCCTTTTTCCAGGTCTCCTCCTCCTCCTCCATGCTTAACCTATCCTGGATCAGAGGCTTGGCAGAGCTTGACCAGCAGAGCTTCCTCAGGGGGTCCAGATAGGGTTGTGGTGCTCCTGGAAGGCACCACCAGCCCGGGGAAAGCAGCTTTGTGTCATTTCTGCTGGACACATCTGTGCTGGGTGTGGAGCTGAACTTTCAAACCCACCAGTGTGGAGCTGGGTGGATGAAAGAATGAAAGAAAGATGAAGCCAAAATCAAGACCAGCTCTGCTTTGCTGCTCCTTTCTCCAGGATAAAATTCCTGTGTGCTGGATTCTCCCTGTAGTAACAACTCGTTCCAAACTATCTGAAGCATGTGGCAGCCCTGCCTCAGCTTTTTGAGCCCATCTCTGGCAGATCTTCCAGCTTAACAGCAGAGATCCCAGGGCAGTTTCGTGCTGCTGGCACCGTCTCTGCTCATCCTGCTCCTCCAGGAAACCCCAAAAAGAGGTACCAGCTCTCCCTCCTGTGAGCTGCTGCCCAGAGCAGAGCTAAATTTGTGCCTGGAGCTCAGGGCAGTTCCTTCAGCTGAGGATGGGCAGTGCTCTCCACAGCTGTGGACCATCTCCCAGTGCAGATTTGGGCAGATTTTGGCTTGCCTCATCCCCACCCGTGGTGGGAAGGCACAGTGCTGCACCACGGGCAAGGCTGGGGCGGTCCCTGCTGTTCCCACCTGTGCCGTGCCACTCCTTGCACCACCCAAGGAATTCATTACCTGTGACCGCCCTGGGCAGATGGAGACCCCCCTGCACCCCCACGGCAGAACCTGCTGCAATCTGCTGGTAGGTGACAGCAGGGCACAGCTCCTGCCATCCCTGCCAGGTGCCCCGGAGCTGGCTCAGGCCACCCTCTCCACTCGCAGAGCTGAAAATGTCGCTGCAGGGGAAGGCTGGAGGCTCGTCTGACCCGGGGGCACTCTGCGAGCTGCGGGCCCTTAATGGCTCTCAGTGGGTGCAGGGTGCAACCTGATCCAAATGGGAAGCTGGCTGAAATCCCAGCAAGCTGTCGGTGATGGGCTTTGTGAGCAGCCCCGGGGAAGGAGAAATGCCCTGCCTGAAGCTTGGGGCTGCTCCCTGCACTGAGGTTTGCTGCCTCTTCATTTACCAAGCTCGTGGCCCTTTGTTTTATGCCAAAGTTTCCTCCCTGAGGGCCACTTGTGGTTTCTGTTCTCCCTGGATCCCTGCTCCTCTTTGGAATGTGCATTCCCCGCTTCCTGGATGGACTTCTCCAAACTCCAGGTGGCTGTTGGCTTTCTTTGCCTTGAAAAGTGCTCAGCCCCTCTTTTCTGAGAGCTTCAGCTGCTGCTTTAGCCGGCTCTGACCTCCCAAGTTCCTCTATTGCTTTTTCCCCAGCACATCCAGAGGATCACTCGGTGCCTGGATTTATCCTCCCCATTGGATCTCAGGAGCAGGGTCTGATTTTAAAGCCTGAAAGCACAGCCCCATCTGTCCTATGCCTCTGGGGCATAGTAAAGAGCCCTGTCCTGCAGCCCCCCGAGCCTGGGAGCAGAAAGGTTTTCCTCGTGCACCAGCCCTGCCCTGGCAGAGAGAGGAAGGTGGGAGGTTTTAATGAATTTCCCCAAGTGGCTGCACTGAACTTGCAGATTTCTGTTTTCCCAAGTGAAGCTCTTTCCTCTTCCTTGCCGTTCAGCCGTTGGATTTGGGGTTGGGGAGGACATTTCCTGGGTGTTATTTGAGGCATCAGCAGGTTGCACAAGAGTCTGAAGAGATGCAGCTGCACCTTGGTGTCCCTTGGCTGGTGACCGGCGGGTGGCTTTGTCCCAGCCACCGGTGAGCACCCAAGGCACATTTGTCACCATGAGGACTCCTCCAGCTCCCAGCACTTTGCTTGGAGCCTGTCCATGGACAGCAGTGGGCTGTCCCTGTGATGTGGAGTCCAGCTGAGCAGAGGGGAGGAGGTGAAACCACCTTCCCTTGCCCTCTGACCGTCGGGAACGCTTTTCCCACAGCCTGGTGTCCCTTGGGGATGGCAGTGGCAGAGGAGGGTGATGTGTCTGTCCCTGTCTCCCAGTGACCTTCTCAGCTCATGGAGACAGCTTGGCTTTGCTGTAAAGCAGCTCATGTGACAGCAGTAATCCTCAGCAGCTAAACAGCTGTGCAGGAAGATTCCAGGGAATCGCCCTATTTTCCCTGCTCCACACACCGGGGCAGGAGGCTGGCACAGGCTGCACGAGCCCATCCCCACTGGATGCCTCTGGAAGCATCCCTGAAAAGCCAGGCCAGGAGCCCTCACTTCCAGGATTCCTCCTGGGAGCCCTCCTGGAGCTGCAGAACAGGTTCCAAGAATTTTAAAAAAACCATTTCTCCCCGAGTGGTTTCCTCTGGATATTTTCCAAAACCATGAGTGGCATTTTTAAGCCCGAATTTGACTTCTGCCTCCCACCCTCTGTGTCTTTTGGCATAATTTATTCCCTCTCAGTTATACAAATTTCTCTCTCTGGGTAACACTTTCTGATGGCTCGTGTGGACCCTCTCCTGCTCCTGGGATACTCACTGGACTTTTTGCCATCTGCCCATGGGAAGTTCAGTTCTGCCCTGGAGAAGATACCAGGCTGAGGGAGCTTGGAATTGGTTTTAATGGGAAGATACAGGCTGAGGGAACTTGGAATTGGTTTGAATTGGAAAATACAGACTGAGGGAGCCTGGAATTGGTTTGGATTGGAAGATACAGGCTGAGGGAGCTTGGAATTGGTTTGGATTGCAAGATACAGGCTGAGGGAGTTTGGAATTAGTTTGGATTGGAAGATACAGGCTGAGGGAATTTGGAATTGGTTTGGATTGGAAAATACAGTCTGAGGGAGCCTGGAATTGGTTTGGATTGGAAGATACAGGCTGAGGGAGCTTGGAATTTGAATTGGAAGATACAGGCTGAGGGAGCTCAGAATTGGTTTGGATTGGAAGATACAGGCTGAGGGAGCTCAGAATTGGTTTGAAATCAATCATGGGTTTATGATTCCCATCCCCAGCTTACAGACTGGAGCAAACTTCCTTTCCCTGTGGGTTTGCCCCCTTGTTACCACAGATCCCTGAACTTCCCCATCTCCATTTTCCCCATGATTTGAACCTCTCAGACCTCCCAGGGGAAGTTCAGTGACTGTGTGCTGGTGCTGACAAGTCCAAGGAGCTGATGACAGCTAAGGCAGGTGGCTTTAGCCTGAGATCCAGGTTCCTGCACCTCACAGGCAGCAATTCCCCTCAGTTCCCTTCAGGAATGAGGTGTTTGGGATCAGGTGGGCAGCAGTTGCTTCGCAGCCATGGAACCCCTGGGTTTCTCGAGCAAGAAACCACCAGCAGGATGTTTGTGGCTGCAAGAAATTGTCCACCAGTGGCCTGAGACAATCCCTTATTTCATGTAAGCCACAGCCCAGCCCTCGGGAAGGACCATCTGTTCCTGTGGCCTAGGACAGATTTGAGCCCGAGCCCTCGCAGTGAAAGGCTCTCTGCTATTCCCCTGAGCCTCCTGATCTCTTCCCTTCCACCTCTTCCCATCGGGGGGGAAAAAAAACCAAAAACCCCAAAGCTTTGTACTCCCAAGCATTAGGGGAGCTCTAATTGGCGTGTCAGTTGGGACTGCTGCGTTTAAGTGGTGGACATGGAGCTAATGGAAGTGGAATTTTATTGCTGGCATAAATAGGGGATGTTCAGCTCCTTTGAAGGCGCAGGGATCAGCAGCTGGGGGGGTTTCTGTTCAATCAGAGCCAGCACTGAGTTTGGTCCCTGTTATTTCCCATTGCTTTGACCCATGGATGAGTGATGAAGTCCTTCTCAGAGGTTCCTGGTGTAATTCCAAATAGGAATTACATGTTAAGAGCTTTGAAGTCCAGCAGAAAATTAAGACTTGGACTCTGCCGGGTTTTAGGGTTTGTGTGTGTTTGCTGCTGTTGGAGTTGTGCTTCCTCACCTGTGGGCCTCCCATCTGAGAGAATTTGGGCATGAACCATCCCAGCAAATGAAAAACAGAATTAATTCTCCAGCCACCACCAGCACAGCTCTTTCATTTTCCAACCTGTTCTGTCTGCCTGGGAAGGGACAGGACGGGCTCTTGCACTGCTTGATTCTCCTGACAAATTCTGTCTGTGTGGGTCCATGTCCCACAAATCTCCATTTTGCACATCCAGGGGGAGACCCACAGGGACAAAACAACTGGAAATCTCCTTTTTGGGAAAACAAACTCATCCCTCTCCCTGCACCCATCGTTGCTTTCTCTTGGTGTGCAAAGGACACTTCCAAACCCCCAGGCCTGGATGGTTGGGACACAAAAGTTCTGTGCCTTCAGTTGCCAGGCCAGAACCCAAAATGTTTGTTTTTAGCACCAGATGTGCAGAGTTTAAAAGGGAGGAATCTGCCAGAGGCAGCAGCATTCCAAGGATAAATACTCTCAGGAGAGCGAGGTGGGAACCCATCTCACCTGCCGGGCAGCGTGAGACGGTGGTGTACAAAAAAAAAGGAGGAATGTGGACTGTAAAAACTTGCTCTTTACATGAAGAGTTCCACATCTGAGCCGTGTTTTCGCTGTGATTTATTGCTTACCTTGCTGAGGACGGGCCAGGTCCTACCTGGGGGGAAGCTGTGCTAAACGTGTCCCTTGTCCTATAAAGGACAGGCCGTGGACACGCTGCTGCAGGAGGGGATGTGCTGGTTTAGAGCAGGGATGCTTTTCTAGCTGGATTTGGAGGCTGTGCTTTGAGGAGAAAGGAAAAAAAGGAGCCTTCAGGTGCATTTCCAGCCCCTTTTCCCCTGAGGAAAAAAGCCAAACTTACCTCCTGGTAGCTGGGCAGGACCTAGTGCGAGATGAGGCTCCAGCAGATCACCACAGCTGCAGCTTTCCATATCAAGCTTTAAATGCCTTCCCAAGGAATTCTCCTCCTCCAAAGGCTCTGCTGGGGGGCTCATGCCACCTCTGTTGGGTTAAGAGCACGGAATTCCCTGGCACAGAGGCACTGATGGGGCACGGGGGGAGGACCCGTGGCGTTGGACCCGCCGCTTGGCCGTGAATGTGCATCCTGTTGTGGCAGGGAAGGCTCCTGGGGAGCAAACCAGCAAAAATGCTGGGAAAATGGCTTTTAGATGGAGCCAGGACCTATCTGGTTACAGGCTGCCTTTCTGCCAGCACAATGGCTGCTTTATGTCTCCGTGTGCCCAAGGCCTCCGTAGGATGTGCCCGCGTCCGTGCTCGCACGTGATCCGTCGGCACCGGCCCCGCTGCAACCAGCCAGGCCCTCAGAGCCTTAAATCACATGGAGCTCCTCCCAGGCCCCAAGGAGTGCCTGGATTTCATGAACTTCCCAGCCTCGTGCTCCTGGGATATGTAGAAATTCTACTTTGGCAGCCATTTCTGCTCCTTATTCGTCTCTCACGGTGGGAATTGTGGAGAGCTTTGCTGGAGGTGGCCCGAGCTTCTCCGTGATGGATTTCACTGCTTCAGTGCAGACTTTCCTCATTGGGCCTCTCTGGGCCAATTAAACATCTAAATGTTGGTAAAATATCTGGCAGTGCCTTATTCTTACCTCCCACTTTACCTCCCACTTACACACTCAACGTTCTGTGCGGAATTAGAAATATTTTTGTTGCTCTGCCTGATATTGGGGTGCTACTCCTATGTGGGCACTGAATTTTTGCACTCATCCAGTAAACCAAAGGATGCGTTTCCTATGAATACATTAATCACCCCACTAAATCTCTCTCTCCAGCTATAGTATTTCTCCTTTTACACTTGCATTTCATTGTCAGGCATCCTAGCAGCAGACTATTCATGTTGCAAGTGGAACGTGGCAGAGGGTTCATCAGGTGAGTGGATTTTTGTGGTGGTAGTTTGGAATGCTGGGATTTAGCTGGTTTTGCACTTGGGCCTTTAGTTCCCTCTTGGTGTTTCTTGGGGTTAAAGGGGCTCTGTCTGTCTGTTTTTTGTGCCTGGACACCATTTGGGGTTGAAATGCCTTTGGGATGTGG